AATGAAATAAATTTAGTTACAACAATCGAAATCCAGAACTGCCTTTAATCATATTGCACATTCCAATATCAAGCAATGAAAATATTGCTGAATCATCAAATCCTTTCCAGCTGTCATTACCTGTAAAGCATAGTAACATAAACACATCAAATGCAAGCAATGTAAACACACAGGCTAATAATAACAATAGTACAAACAGTAATGGTGAACAAACTCTATTACCAACCACATGGAACTTTTGTATTCCTTGTAACTCCATTATAGTACATATGTACTTACAACAAACTATTAAAGGATAAAATTCATGCATGATAATCATCAAACACTACAAGATCAATAAATGCATCAATAATCCACTACATGTACACTATACTAAACATATACATGTATATGCATAATATACCTCATGTTTGTCACAAACATACATTACAAACCACTAACAAGATACAGGTGCTCACATAGAGGAACGTCCCCTTCAGCTGTTGAGTCTCATTCTAAGTCTGACCTCACTCTTTAACACCACATTGTAGTCCTAAGTATACCTGTATAAATTATGAATGTGACATACAAGTACTAACAAATAATGATAATGGTAGCATCTACAATGTTTCTGATTGGATCATACATTTTAGACATAATATTGCTTACTAATGCTAACCTCAGTTAAGATACTTTCATGACCTCCTTCATATAAAATATCATTGTGTGCATAAAGTATTTCCAATGTGCAAACAATATTTTTTTAATGAGAACATGCACATGTTACAACAATCATCAATACAAGATGCGCAACATCAGCTGGCAAGCATTTATTATGCGCACAGCATTGATGGCAGCATCATTCAAATGCGCAACATCAGCCGGCAAGCATTAACTTAATAATGTGCACAGCATTGATGGCAGCATTATGCGCAACATCAGCTGGCAAGCATTTACATACATGTAATGCGCACAGCATTGATGGCAGCATTAACATGCATGATGATCATTATTATATGTACAGAATTACTGCTTGAATAATACTAAATGTAAAATAACAACTTTTAATGTTACTCAAAAATTTTTCATGTCATGACTTCAAATTTTGTCAGCAGAGCCAAGATCCATAAGCATCAGTTATTTGTAATAAACATGTAGTACAAGCCACAAACAAGATCCAGATTTGATAATGACAGCTTCCTCCCTTCCTAACCCTCTGTCCTACATAAATGATAGTCCACAAATTTGAATCAATGCTAAACTCTAATGAACAGTAAACCTCTTTCACACCCTCTCCCTGTCCATTATAGCAACAAGTAATCAATATTCACTGTTATACATTGATTAATCTCACATCCTGAATGCAGTTTGATCCCTTGATACTGAGCAATGCTGGGTGGATATGCACCAATGGTTTTCACACTCACACATCATTCACATTGCACATGCAGTGAAATATAAGTCACATTAAACAACCAATGTTTTTAAGATGATGGACCTCCCATACACCATACCCACTTCCATCATCAATCAATGCTTAAGAAATATTAATAGACTTAACTGCTTGGAAATGATTAGTACCAACATGCTTCAAATACAAAGTAGGTGTATTAGTATCACAAGGAATGCCATATAAAGTTTGGGTTCCATATCTAGCCCAGCCAACAAAAGTAGGAGTTAGTGAATATGAATATATGGTTGTACCTAATATTGCAGATAATGTAATAATCTCTGTGTCAGTGGCCCACACACAATTTCTATACATTTTGGACTTATTTATGTAATCATATATGCTTGAATATCTGGTTGCACTTAATGTACTATTAAACAATTCTTCTTCAAAGTTTGGCATATTACTAACAATTGCTTTACGTAATTCATAATGCTGAGAAATTGACCCAGTAATGAGATATGAAAGGGCATAAAATAAACAGTTCCCATCACCAGGGACATCAAGAGTACTATTAGGAACTCTTTCATCTGACAATGGTGTTGTTTGACTACCAGGTAAGATTCTAGCAGCTGTGACAAATTTGAGATTTAAAATCTCACACCACCTTCTTTGATATTCTTCATTACCAGGGTAATAAACATAATCCCATTGTCTCCTTCTCACAGTATCTGGGTTGGGAGGCTCTTCATAAGTAAAGATGACATCATCATCTTTTTTTGGATTACTTGTCTTTAATTTAATGCTTGAGAGTTTTTTAGATACAATGAGACTACTACAACTATCATCATCTTTGACATTAAATTTGGTTTTTAGGTCTTTCAAATTAATTGAAACAATTAATTTATCATCTTTTTTTGAGCGAGACAGTACCAAAGCAGTATTGTCAGTACTACTGTCTACATCAACTTTTCTTTTTTGGGGGCAAGACTTATTTAAAGCATTATTGTCACATATTTTACTCTTTTTGGGGCGATTAGACTTTTGTAAATCAGTACTCTTACGTTTATTGCTACTAACAGTACTGTTACTAGTACTTTGTACATGACTTACAGACACCTTGGCATTCTTACTACAAGGTTCACCATCATCTATTATACCAGTCACTTGAATCTTTCTCTTCTTTCCTTTACTTTTCTTGATTTGAGGTAAGTCATTCCGAAAATTAGTTCTCAGTCTGTTAATTTCATTAATGCACGGATTACTAACTTTAACAGAGAGAGGATCAAATGATAATAAATGTAATCCATTTAATGTACG